AGGTCTCCATGCAACTTCTCCAGGCTGARCAGAASTYAATTGATACTAATCCAGCAAGTCCYTTMCCCTTCTGAGTAGCTATTTTTGTGAGTAACCCCCTTAACTTCAGCACAGCTTGCTCCTGTTAACAAGAACAAACTCACAGAGCTGCACAGGTAGGAATTTCACCCACACTTTCACTTCACTTACTTATCTTCACCTTACTGGTGCTCCTGCTTATCTATCCTGCCCATCCATGTCTTTMATGGGCATTTTCACATGCATTAAAACACACTAAAGGTGCATCTTGAAACCAGCACTGTAGAACAGAAGCCTGATCTTTATGGTTTCCCTAGAGATACCATAATAATGGTATCAGTGATGGTACAGTTGTCAAAAATTATCTGTGCTCCTCCATTTTATGAGAAAACCTTCCTTCCATGCAAAACCAAAAAGCAAAGTGCCTGTGGCTAATGGCTTGATATRTTCCTTGTCACTTGCTTCTGCATGTTTTCACTCATTATTGCTTCACCTTTTTACCAGCCAACATCACTGTTTGCATAGAAAGATGTTTTGAAAGTCTTTCCAACATTGCTCATGAAAAAAGCCCTCTGTTTTAGAGAATGAGCTCTGTCTTTCTCTTTCTTTCTTTTTCCCCATTTTGTGCTTCGTTCTTGTGCATTCTGACTCTTCTCTGCAGCTGGAAGGATGACTGTAGATGTTGTCACAGTAATGATACTATTACAGCATGACAGCTGAGRGGAAAAACATGTGGCAAAACTGGGAATATTTTTCAGAGGATAACTGGTACAGCCAGGTAAAAACTGATTAGCTTTTGGACACCATGACTTTGCAGGAATTAATTTGATATTGTGGTTACATTTCTCCCCTCTAATAGGATTATATAAGACTGTCTGTCAAATTAGGGGCTTAAAATGCTTTATCAGTGAGAATACACATTTGTGGGTGGTTTCATCAGAGCTATAGAGCAAATTCTGATAGGGAGAGATATAATGGGAATTTGCCAACAGGGCAACTGTGCATCCATTCATGGAGTGTTTTTACAGTGTTAATGCTGTTCTTACAGGGGGAGATTCAGATGCCAGTTTTCAGAACAGTGTCAACAGAAGGAATTCAGAGAAATCAGMCTGCTCACAGGTGACACCACACAACTGTCCTACAGGAACAGTTCAAACAGGTGATGATTTCTGAATATTTTTGTGTTGTACATTGGGTCAAAAAAAGTACCAAAGGAGCACTGGTTATTTATGGYGGTGGGGAATAAGGGCTGTGGTGTCACATGGAATGCCTACTTTTCTTTCAGCTTCGTTTTCCCTTGGAAAACAAATCAAATTTTCACATRGACTCTACCAATGTAGCATGAAATACTTGCAGAACTGAGGGCACAGCATAGAGCAAGGAATTTTAGTCAGGGGGTAACTAAGTGCATTGGGAAGATAATGGATTTGCCAGGTGTATGGCATGGTAACATTTTCATAAAATAAAAGAATGCCATACCCTGAAAACTGATTCCAATGCAACTCCTCTGCTAAATTCTGCAGAACAGAAAGTGTGTGGGATGCTGAAGTGGAGAGGAATTCCCTGTTATTTTGGAAGTGAGAGAGCTGAAACAGTGCAAAGACGAGGTACAAGGGGATGCCTGTAGGAGTACAAGATACTCCAAACGAAAGCAGGCAAAACCTGGATATTTTGAAGGATGTAGTTCTAATCTTCATGTGTGTTTTGGCCTGGGAGCAAAGGAAAGAAGAAAAACGGGATTCTATCACTTGGGAAAGGTGTTGGCTGAGCAGAGTGTCAGCTCCACCCGCAGGGGCAGCGGGGGAATGCAACAGGGACCGGAGGGAATGCTGCTGCTGCATTTTGGAGGGAAACCGGGAAAATCACAGCCCAGCGTTTCCCTTCTAATCTGTAAATAATCACGCTGTTTCTCCTGAGAGTTTGAAAGGCATCTAATTCCATGCATTCATTCGTTACTTTTCTCTGYGCTGCTTTTTAAAGGCGCTTCTCAGGAACAACTCTATTTTTTTTTTTTTCTGTAGTAGACAGACCTTGCCCCAGGATACCTGGCCCTTCTGGCTGGGATCCTACTTGGAACCAAAGTAATGGAGGTGAGGTTAAACTCATCAATCAATTCTCACCAAAATTGAGTTCAACAGAGTAGAATCATGCCTGAATATCAATTTTCTRCTTTGATTTAAAGGCATGGGTCGTTGATCACGACATCTCTACATCTTCTCAACGACTGCAAAGTGCCACTGAAGTACTTGAGGCTATTTGCTTGTAAGCAAGATTGATTTTTGGCAGTTTATTCTTACCTCCTGTTTATGCTCCACCTGCAGCTGTTATTGCCGGCAGAAAGCAGTGGTGTGCTGCTCTTCAGGGCTCACTGGCAAAGGCAAAGGACAGCAACTGATAATGCTGCTTGGAAACAGATTTGACTCCAGAGTAATAGACCTGGCTTTGAGCTCGTCCTGGTGTGTCTGTAATTCCCACCTGCACAAGGGCAGAGCAAGGCCAGRCATTTTCAGTTCCCCACGGTGAGTCAGTGGCAGCATAACAAGCTCCTGCTCAGGTCTGTCCTGATCCATGTGGCTCCTCGAGGGCRGCAGGCAGGACACAGTGGCGGTGTTATTGCTGTGGCACCACACAGACCATGGACTGCTAGGAATTCAGTGAACAGCCCAAGGGCTTCATGCTGAAATAGATTTAGAAAACAAGGGAGGAAAGGCTTAGGAATATCTCACAGCAGCACAAATAAAATATACCCCAAAACCTTGCGTGTACTGGGTGTATTTTAACTTAGTTCATTGCAAGCAGTTTGGATATTGAAAGAATAAGTCATTTCTATTTTCTCTTTTTTTTTTTTTTTTTTNTTTTTTTTTTTTTTTCCCCCCCACTTTCTCATTTCCAAAGAGATACAGAGCCTTTAGTTTGTCTCTCTTCTCAACCAGGCAAATAAAGAGTCAGGATTTAATTTGGAATACAGTTCTGTACAATTCAATAACTTTTTTTCTTTTGTCTTTGGCTAACTATGTTTTGAATTAGTCTCCAGACACTGAATGGTTCTGGTTTTTTTAAATGGAGGTGACTGAACAGATTTTGGTTTATTCTGCTGTTGGCAAATACTTTCCTCACCAAAATGAAAATATTTACTTGGCTCTAAATATTTTTTTTCTAGAGGTTAACCAAAATGCCTTGGTCAGTTTATTTTCCCATTTTTGTCCAGAGGAAACAGCAAACTTTAACACTCCAGACAGCTCTAGCATACAAAATATGAATTAAAAGAACATTTCTTATGCAATTACATGTTTCTGGTATTCTTGTGTTCATTAGACATCATGAAGTCGATGTTCTGTTAGTCAGGGTATATTTCTCCACAGCAATAGGCTGTGAAAGAGAATGCTTTTCCTTCCCTCAAGCACTGAAAGTCTACTAAGATTTCCAAGTTTATATTGTTACTGAGAGCTAAGTATCTGTTGGGATCCCTAGATGAAAACACTGTTGAAACACACAGCTACTATTTGTGATTATTTCACTGCTGCCTTATSGCCAGGACATACTAAATTAACTGTGTCAAACTTTCTTCTTGATTTCTTCCCTTAATTACCACTCAACCCTGAAAGTTGCCCCAAAGTAGCCAAGTCTTCATGTGCTGAAAGTCTGGAAAGAAGCTGGCTACTAACTCACATTAAACTATTCTGAAGGTTATGTGGCAGTCTGCAATTTCTCAGTAGGTCTGAAAGGTGTGCCTGGAGATGCTGAACACAAACGGATGGTACCAGCCTGGGCTGAATCCGCCTTTTATGCCAAAGTCTAGAGACAGGGCTCTGAAACTGGGATCTGCCTCTGAGATACTGAGAGGAGCTGAACGTGTCTCCCATGCTTCAGCCTACCTGCTTATCACAGACAGGTGCTTTCCGCTGCTGCRGTCACTCTGTTGGCATGAAATGATGACACTGCTGATTTAGGAGGGCTGAGGGCTGTGCATGTGGCACCCTCATCCTGGTGTGCAGGAGATAGATTCCCAATGGGAAGCCTGAGCTGAGCATTGCAATAGGTGTGTGAGGTTCATGCTGCTGCCCCTTGTTCTGTGGATGGCTCCCTCATACTGAGCACTGCAGCAACAAACCCAGAAGGCTGGAGCACCCATCAACCAGCCCCATTCCACCCAGGGGTAAAACYCTCAGTGTTCTCTTCAAAAACCCAACAGAAAATCATAGAATATCCTGAATTGGAAGGAAGCCATAAGGATCATCAAAATCCAGCTCCTGCCACTGCATAGGACAATCCCAAGAATCCCACCGTGTGCCTGAGAGTGTTGTCCAAATGCTTTCGAAACTTTGTCAGGGCTGGAACCATAAGCACTTCCCCGGGGAGTCTTACAGTGCCCACCACCATCGGGGTGAAGAACCTTTTCCTAATATCCAACTTAAATCTCCTCTGACACAGCTTCATGTCATTCCCTCAGGTCCTTACACTGGTCACCACAGAGCAGAAAYCKGTGTCAGCTCCTCTTCTTCCCCTCACAAGGAAGCTGCAGAACTGCTGTGAGGTCACCCCTCAATCTCCTCCAGGCTGAACAGAACAAATGTCCTCGGCTGCTCCTCTRAGAGCTGCTGCTTTGCAATCGGTGCTGCTGGCAGGGGCACGCTCTGCTTTTGGGTTTGCATTGTCCCCGTTTTTCTACATTCTCCCGAAAGTATCTTAACCCACCGATTGTTCTGTGTGCTTTGTGCAGGATGTACTTTRTGCCGGATGCACTTTGACTGGGCGGGCTCGGCGATCCCGGCCTCGGGGCTCCTGGCTTGAACCCGGGGCAGACACGGAGCGCTCGGGGAGGCCCGCGGGGAGTCGCGGCGAGGGGAGGGAGCCCGGGATGGAGCGGGTCGGTGTCGCCGACACCGGCGGGCTGGGGTCGATGCCCGCCAGGGCGCGCTGGAGACCGGTGCGGCYGCTGCCGGGGAAGAGAGCCAGGCGCCGGGAGGGAAGGAAGAAGAGAGGGAGGGTGGGTCGGTGGGTGCCGGCGGCGCCGCCCGGAGCGGGATCTCCCTCCGTCCCTCCCTCTTTTCCTCCCTGAGCTCCTCTGGGCGCGGTGCCCGCGCTGAGGCGGGAGCGCGCGGGGCGCGGGAACGCAGCCCCTCAGCAGCAGCGGTGTCTGCGCTGCCTCCCTCCCTCAGTGGCGGCGGGGCAGGGGCACCCCGCGGCCGGGGCGGGGTGGAAATTTACCGGCTCCTCAGCGAGGCGGCGAGCGAGGGGCTCGGCAGGAGGCGGAGGGAGGGCGGGGAGCGGCGGAGCATCATCTGGCGGGGAACGCGAGGGACCAAATGACTGTGAGGAAGGGCGGTAGCCGCCACTGTCGCCGAGAGGAGCGAGACGCGGCGCAGCGGCAGCAGCAGCCCCGCTCCCCGCGGCCGGCTGGGCGGCGATGGCGGCGGGCGGCGGCGGGGCTGAGCTGAGCTGAGCTGAGGCGGGCCCCCCGCCCGCGGGCGCCGCATGGCGCGGGCCTGATGCCGGAGCGCGGCCCGGCGCCGCGGCGGCGCTGCGGGAGCAGGAGGACGATGGCGGGGCTGGCGTGGAAGTGGCCGCGCACCCGCCTGCCCGTGGGCGCCAGCGCTCTGGGCGTCTTCGTCCTSTGCTGGCTCTACGTGTTCCCCGTGTACCGGCTGCCCGACGAGAAGGAGATCGTGCAGGGGGTGCTGCTGCAGCAGGGCAAGGCGTGGAGGAGGAACCAGACTGCGGTCGCCCTGTTCAGGTATTGCCGTGCGCGGCCCAAGGGCAGCGGGGACGGACAGCCGGGCATGGGCAGCCGGGCGAAACCGCGGCTCGGAGCCCACCCGGGCGCYCTCTCCACACCCCGAGCCCCAAACTTTATTCTTTCTTCCCCGACCCTTTGTTTTTTCCCAGCGGGCGGCGGGCAGGCAGGGCCCCTTCTGCCCAGCAAAACTTTTTTTTGGGGTGGCTCCGTTCGTTGCGGCGAGGAGAAGGGGCTCGGCGCGGGAGATGAAGGCTTATCCCCGCTGGGATACCTTTCTAGGGGGAATGAGGTTTCCGGGGATTGCGGCGTTGCCCGCACAATGGGATGCTTCTCGCTTCCCGGATAGCAGCGGCGCGGGCAGTCCCTGAGGCTGCTAACAAAGCCTGGGGCTGCCAGCCCGGCTTCCCTCCGTTCTGGGGAATGCCAGCTTGCTGCCAGGAGAAAGCCCAGCTTGTGGATCTCCCGGGGTGCTCAAGGGAAGGTTTGCGTGGATGTGCATTYGTGTCAGCATCTCCGCTCTGAGCAGCACTTGGGAAGCTCCGTGCTGGACCTTGACTCTCTGCGGTTTATTATAGAAGCCACGTGAAAAGGCACCTTTTTTTCTCCTCTTTGCTTTTGAYGTGTCTGGGAAATGGCGATAATCCYTGGGGCCCGTTTCACCTTGCCCAGCTGCACAGGAGAGGAGGAATGTTGCAGCCAGGCTGCCACAACTGAGGACGATGGAGAACTGAACGGGTCCCTGCGGTGGGGAGGWTTTTTTTTAATGACCCTGCTTTAAAGCGTGTGCAGAGGAGATTTGCGTCCCCTGAAAAATTTCACACATGTTAGGAAAAAATACAGGCAATTGGAAGAGAGGCAGATTTCCCTCCCTTTCCTGGAGGGAAGCTGGGTTTTTTCTCCCTGTCCTCCAAGTAGCAAATTAAAGATCACAGTGAGTGGTAATCAAGCTGCCTCCAAAAAAACCCTCTTTAATAAAATGAATCAGATGCAAAAGTCGAAGGACTTGTTTTGCCTTCTAAAATTATTTTTTTTAAGTGGCATACAGTTTCATTTGAAGTTCTTCAGTATTTCCTGAATGTCATGAACTGAAACTGATTGTTTCGTTGTGGTTGTTTCGTTGTGGTTGTTTCGTTTCTTGTCTGCTGGGATAACAGAAACTGTACAGATCTTGTAAGGCACGTTCTGCCATTAGCCCCCAAAGCCTGCAGGAAATGTTAGCGATGATAAGTGGTAAGCAGATATGTTTTAATATTATCTCATTAGGCAGGCCTGCAAGAAGTCCCCCCTTTAGTACAGAAGTAGCAGTAAGGTACAGATGTGGGATGCCTCCCCTAAAGCACTGAACTAACACTAGAAACTATGTTGGTCTTCTTGAATATTAATTAATCTTGATCCTGTGCACCACAGAACCCCGTTTTTGGGGGTAGAGGAATACAGCTCTTTAAAAAATTGCCCCATAGGTTATATGTAGGAAAGCATTTAGTCTATTATTTACCATGTTTGTAAACCAAATGTTGTTTGAAGATTGGTAGTGCTGCTGCAGTTTCAGTTTACAAAACAGTTTCAGACCGTTTCCATCACATGGTTTAGTAACAAAAACTGTGTGGTTTATCAGCTATTCCACTTGCCCATATGTTTTTCTACTCTCTAAGCATAGTGATTTTCTCAGAGATGTTATTGCAGAGAGTCTCATGCAATAAAGGGAGCTGTTGTTTCTTGTCTGTTTCTTACCTCTTGATGAGTTGGTGCAGCACTAAATACAATGAGCTTTAAATCAATCTGCTTCCAAAAAGTTTTTAAGTTGTATGCTGTAGATATGTAGTGAGTATAGTAAACTATATTATTCCAACAGTTGTGCTGTAGAATTCTATTTTTGCTGCGTAAATTTGCTTCTCTTCATGATGGACTATTTTGAAGTTGAAGCCCATGTCAGGCAACCTGCTGTATATTTGAAGTTAACAGAAACTTTTTGCTCTGGTCATGCTGTCCCTAAGCAAGCTCGCTGTAAAAACCTCTAAATTTCACTTTTTGCTGGAAAATACCAGTGAATGTCAGTCTCTGTTTGAATGGTAAAGGAGGGACAGAGCTTCACAGAAAATCTTCATGTGGACTTTCAAGCAATATAGCTTTCTGTAATAGTCTAATCAAGTGTGCTTTAATGTATTATTAATAAAATTTTATTTAAGAATGGTGTTAACTGCTGTTCTCCCTGGCCCTCCTGCCACATTCTGGTTGCCAAACAATTTTGGTTTCACTCAGTTTTGAAGCATAAATTGGAATTAATGGGTGCTAAAAATCCATATGCAAATATTCATAGTAGTGCTTTGTGTAATACAGTGGCATTTGTGGTATTGTATAGCCAGGTTCTTGCTACACAGAGCAAACATTTGGAACTTTCTCCTCCTATAAACTCACTGGACTCCTATTGCTGAAGTAGATGTTGGGTAATTAACTTGATGAAATCATACTTTTTAAACCTTGGAAGGGCTATCCTCCCTTTGCCTTCTGCACCTGGATCAAGGACAGCTTCACTAAGTGCCTTAAGCAAGGTCAACAAAACCATCTGGGTAATTTGGGGTAGATTGGGTTGAACACTGGCAAACAARTGCTGGTAACTCCTCAATCTCCACTACCACCTCCTTCTCCTCTCTGTGCAGCCAGAAACCTTATGGAAAGATCTGACCCCAGTAAACCCTTGCTTATGCAAGAACTCAGACTGGCCTGGTTCTTGTAGAATGATTTGATGGGAACTTTGTGTTTGAATAAGGATTCCCAGAACTGGTTTTAAAATACAAATACCTGTATAAATAGCCATGGATTTCTTTAAGTTTCAAGACTCTAGTGGTTCAGGGTAGTGAAACTCCACTGTGGAAGCATCTCCTGTCTGACAAATGCTGAATATTCTGTCAATCAGATGGTAAAACTGCTCAATTTTGAACTGCAGAGTGTTCAAAATAGGAGTAAGATTGTCATTAGAGCCACTAATGGCTAATGTGTCCAATCTGCCTACAGTATAATGGTTTGTCATCCTCTGAGGTGGTTAATGTTATTGAGCCCTAATAGTTTTTACAGATTGCTTAGAGTTTTGTTTTTGTTGTTTTTTTTTTTTTAGAGCCTAGTGCTGCAGAGATTATTTAGGCAAACATGTTAATTGCTTTCTGTTATTTGCTAAAGCAAATTACATACAGTAATACCTGTAGGATGGTTTTATTTAAAATACTGCAATTCATTGAAGGCAGAACTGTATCTTTTTATCTACCTTACAAGCTCCATACAAGCAYTGTGTGTTTATATTCTTTAATTCGGTTGTAGACGGCAAACCTCCTCTAGGGAATGAATATGCTTGTGTGGGGCAGTGGGTTTTGGACTGCCAGGAGTCCCATTGAAGGGATTGGATGATGGTTAGTATCTTAAAGGTTCTTCAGGAAGAGATGGGACAATCCCTGCAAGGCAACAGAAAGGCTTTCCTTGAGATTCAGCTTGTGTTCTTGCTTCTGCTGCTTCAGTTTTGTGTGTTGCTGAAAGGTCACCAGGGATTATTGTTTGATCAAGGGTGACTTGATCAAACTGGTGGCAAATGTCCCCTGTGAACTCACTKTTCATGACCTGACTCCAGTCCAGAGCATCTGCTACAACTTGTCTTTGCTCTCCACTGAGGTCCCCTCTGACACAGCCAAACTGGCCATGCTCACATTGGCTGGTGGCTTCTCCACTCCTTTCCATCATATTTGTCCTCTTTTTGTCCATTTRCCATGGACAGAGCAGAGAAGCTACTGCCCTGCAGTCACACGTTGGGGTCAGTGGCTGAGCTGGACAGAATATCCAGGCTGTGGTGTTTGCAGTGTGAATGTGGACAGGCTGTGAAGCCTCTCCTATTGTTGGCTTTGCGTGCCTTGCGAAAATCCTGCTCTGTTCCCRTTGCGCCAGAGGGGCTTTCCCCACTGTAACCTCCTGTGCCAGCTGCTCTCTGCCAGCTGCTCCTGTGTGTACCTGGAGTGCAGTCACACGAGGAGCATCCCCYTGTGCACATCACAGTTCATTTTGGATTGCATTAACACAGAACTAGAATTCCAGGTCACTTCCCCGGCTGGGTAAGACAGAYGCTATTGCCAAGTCAGCAGGGTTTTCCTTAGCTCAGATGGCTTTTTTGGCCTTCTCTTTTTATGTCAGCACTGCAAATTACATGAGTGTTGAGATCCTCACTGGGCTATTTCAAGGCAAATCTCAGATTAAACTTTGTATTGCGCAGGTTGAGTTTAGATAAGAGTTTGGCCCTGCTTAAACAGCTTAATCAGATACATAATTATTCCTGCTTTCACTAGACACATGTGAAACACAGAGTGAGTTTGGAGGAGACCTGGGAGATGCTGGATTACAGCCAGTTTTGCCTTTGTGGCCTGAGAAGCCCTGCCCTGAAACTAATGGATATGTGCCCATGTTGAGCCAAACCCAGCTCATTTTTCTCTCCTGAGTAGGTCTTGCTACTGCCTGGCTGTGATTTCATCAACATTTTACTTGATTTTGTTGTTGTTGTTGTTGTTGTTGTTGTATTTGCTTCACTGGTGATAAATGAAGTATTTGTAATTTGTGGTTTCCAGCTGAGAAGTTGTTTTGGTGACAAGGTACAATTTTGAAGAGCAGGTTAAAGGTGAGAGGAAACAAACGTTCTTATTCCRTGTTATTATTTGGAGGCTGTGATGAAGAAAGCAAGCTGTAGAGAGGTTTGGCTCCATATCTTCAAGACGGATACCTAAATGACATGAAAACAATGACAATTAGTTATCTGAGTTAGCTCACAGTGTTTTTGCAGATGAGAGCTGTGCTGGCAAGACAGGAATTGATTTTAATTCCTGAGTTCCAGCTCTGCTCTCCTCCTTAGGTCCTTGACCCTAAGTAGCATCTTCTTACAGACTTTGATTCATTGTCCTAATGAAACAGACTGTTTGGATCCCTGTTTCTAGTATCTTGCAAAGTTTTGGAGTGCTGCTTTCCTCTGG